AAGAAACCTGCTGTGTGTGTATTACTCACAAAAAGGAGGAAACAGCTCTAATGGCGGGGGCAGAGTGAGCCCCCTCCCGCACAAAAAACTAATTCATAAAGGAACTCCAGTTTTGGAGGATCTCATTGAGGGAGTAATTACAAAAAGAATTGCTAAAAGAAAGACACCACCTGGAAGCCATAAGCTGCACACTATTCCAAAAATTAGAAAAGGAACTCCTGTGATTTCAAGATAACTCCCCCTTTTCTTCAAAGTCTTTTGTTACCCAAATGAAGCCACTGATGCAGTAGATTTTTAGGAAGAACTTTGGTTTTGTGAGGTTAATAATAGGGCCTCAAATGCATCAATAATCTGAACCACGACCTCTTGTTCTACAGATAACCCAAAGTCTTTCTTGGTGCCTTCCAAAACTTGAACGAACCTACCCTTAGTTCAAGAATCAAAGTCTGTAAACCACTTACTCTCCATTTACACTACATAGCTTTGAAGACAAACATCATTGCCAAACCAATCTGATAATGAGTGTAGTCACCTCTGTCTTCAAACAACAATGCTCTAAAGATTCTGCACAGGTTTCTTATGCGTTACAATTTCTGTTGTGACTTGTTAACGCTCAGTGTTCATTACTTATGCACGAGCAATTGTACATGTCAACATACTTTCCACGTAAATTTTTCATTTGAGCATGGATCAACACCCACAATGCGAAGGGAGTGAGAGTGAGAGTCAGGGGGGAGAAGACCTAATATGTTTTCCATAAGTATCACATTTTTAACAAACTAAAATTCACATATTAGAAGTAACAAATTTGATTGCATGCATGCAGGGTATAGGGACCAATTAACTTTATGTTCTTATACTCCTATATGTACTTACCCAATTTATAAACATTTTCTTGCTCTACTGTCACATGTAAATATATAGAGCATTTATTACCTTTAGGATCTCGGATGAACGGAAGCCACCAATCCACAGGAAACACCGTTCTGCTGGTGTCTTCCACATTCCTGACAAGATGTGGAACACATCAGCTTTGGCTGCAATGCCTTTCAACCTGAAAATATCGTCGAACTGTGCAGTCACATTATCAACAATAGTTCGAAGTTCAGTGTCACCCGCATGTGAATTAACTGCAGCTCTAAGCTCATTTATCAGCCTGTTATGCTCCTCTAACCAACGTGAATATTCTACATCAAACGCTAGTGCACCTACATACCAAAAAAAGAAAAAGATATGACAAAGAACCAAAGGAACAGTGAACAAGGTACAACCAGGCCATATTTGAGTACATACTCCATTTAAAAGATAACTTAGTACATCAAGCACTAAATACATGCTGATTTTCTTTTTCACTAACCCTCCACCCACTACAAGATACAGATCACAAAATTGCCCTAGTGTATTCTTCCGTTTCTTCTCAATGAAAGTTAGTTTCTTCATATAAAAAATAAATAAATAAACAAAAGGGCAAACATTGGAGTTTTGTGAAGGATTAGAGATAGAATTATTAACGTTTGGTAGGAGGTAATTGAAAATACCGGAGGAACCCAAGAATGCATGGCACCCTTTTGGGCCGAGCCCATGCTGGGCTTAAGCTGACTTTTTAGCCACAACATCTATATTCTTATTTCAAAGAACGTCCGCTACAAAATCAAATTTATGACTTGAAACATTGGACAATAAAGTCATTCATATCAAAACCTTATAAATTATAAAAAGTCAAGTTCCTTCATAGAGAAGTTGATAATAGCAAGAAAAGGCCAACATAAGGTATTTGTCTCCATGTCATGATGATACGAGAAAACAATGATGTTCAAATCATGATGAGTTGAGAACAGTTACACAGTCGGATAACAAGATATACATTAAAAAGATCACATGCCATAACATGCAAAAGAAGCTTAAATACCATTTCCACTCATCGAATGAGCTTGGTCTCCAGAACTTGAAATAAATATACCCTGCATAAAGTGTGATGGAAGATTTAAGTAAGCAAGCATCTTAACACTTTCCCACTAAATTGAATGATAATGTACCATGATGGCCAAGCACAAAAATATAGATAACTCAACCTGCTGACGGGCTCTCTGGAGTTCTTGCTCAAGCTGAGTAAGCTTCAGCCTACTACTTTCTAGCTGCTGCACATACGCCTATGAAAGAATGGAAAGTGATAAATAAAAAAAAGAGGAATAATTATAGAACGTCAGGACATAAATGATCAAATACACCAAACATTTCTAAACAACCAAGTCAATATCAGTTAAAAATCAGGACATCGTTGAAGCCAAATTCTCCTAAAAAAGGTATCGCTTGTTCAATACTAGACAATTTAAAATTTTAGAGAATTAGCGGAATAAGAGATTAATAATCATGGAAGCTTACTTTTTTCCTTAAACGACTTTTTCTAGCAGCTTCACGATTTTGGGCAAGCCTTCGTAAGGTCTGAAAGAGATGTCAAAAAAAATATATTAGGTGCTTGAACAAGCTGCTGTCTGTCCATCAATATGTTCGGCTAACAATGAAAAACAGATTAGTTTCCAACATGACCTTCTGATCTGCTGTTTTTTCTTTTGATTTGTTGCCAGAATCATATGCCCCAAGTGAGTTTCCTTGATCCTTGTCAAGCTGCAGAAGACAAAAGACCATGAGCTTACCACTCAAGAATTCTAAACAGAAATGTAGACACTGTTACTTGAGATAATGAAAACATTAAACCACAAGATTATTAAAAGAATTTAAGTAACTAGTAACCTGCCTTCTGGTTTGATGGAATTCACATAACTTTGTGAAAAAGGCATGCATGAGTCAAGAAACTTTGTTCAAAATCCCAAACTATGTGAATATTTCAGGGGGGAGATATAATCCAAAGTCCTCCCACACAAGGAGGGAGGAGAAGGTGAAAAGAAGAAAACGAGACTATACTTGTACTGTTGTCTAGCTGGCCCTAAATTATCTTAAGCCTCAAATTGCGATATTTATATAAGGCAACTACATTGATAATTGAACAAAACAAATCATATGCAAAGATCATAAAGATTAAAGAAAATAAACCAGAATATCTCCAAAATGCAACTTGTAAAACTAATTTGAAAACGTACTCAAGGGACTTTACCCTTTGACTTTTGTCATCTGTGTCATCTGTGGAGGTATCAGTTCTTGTGCTCGTATCTGGCATGTTAGACTCTCCCCAATTTTCACGAGGACCACTAGATGTAGAAACCAAATTTGGATTTGATTCTTTCTGTAACGGCAATGTTTGGGAACCCATGATAGCAGTTGGCAGATTTACATCAGTGGATGTAAGTGGCTGAATTTCATTACAGGTATGTCAGGGGGGTATTAATGTTCATCAAATACAAGTTCAAAGCAAAACCAATAGACCATTCTATTAAAATAAAATATGAGAACATAAAAAAACAGTACCTTAATTAAACCACCAAACTGGATGTTGTTGTTCAGAGTCGAACTATTTGACTTTATCTGATTATACAGAGGATCTAGAGCAACCATATTTGGAAATAAAACATATTAGTAGAATAAGAAAACAAGAATAGAAGAGCAGTCAGACTTTCAGAGGTTTAGATTTTATGGCACCCAAGAAAAAATGTAGCTCTTCTTTAGTTAATGTATCAGTATTTTTACATACAAAATTATTCATACATAAAACAGTATATGTACATTATTTAGTTGTAAAATGGAAAACAAATTTAAGCAACTTTAAGTATCATACAGGGAGAGTCATAATTGCACAAGAAAGCTTTAGACAGCTCGTCAAACTTAGTAGACAAATTGCAGAAGGAATAGAAAGAGATGGTAGGATTCAGTTCAACAAAGAAAGCCACCATAAAAAGCTGGGAGTGTAATGGAACAAGAATTAAAGGTGCGTTCTTAGGCTTATTTATCAAGAGGCAGATAATCATGACACCTCTCAGTCATCCTAGAAACATAGCAGAGGAATCATACAGGATAAATTATTCAAAATCATACGAGGGTAATGCAACATCAAGAGTGAAAAATTTAATGAGATATATAAATAATCGCTGAAACTACTTTAGAAGAGGACAAAAATTAAAAAAGCCTCAAGTTCAATTACAAAATAAAGCATTTATACATACTTCTAGTAAGGTCTACATCTTCTATGTGAAATCCAAGAGTTTGCTCAAGTGTTCTTAAGTCTGGGATTCGAGATGAAGGTATAGAGCTTCCCTCTGCACCCCTGAAAATCAAAGTGAAAAAGACTATCAAAGTGTGAAAAACATTTTCCAAAAATAAAGCAATAGGTAAAGTTGTGAACAAAAGACCCTAGCAAAGAAGCAAAATTAAGGGATGCATCAAAACATAACCATGCATCCAAAAACCCATAACTATGGTCTGGAAGAGCAAAATATTTCATTTCTGGAACTCAAGGATGTACCAAATAAATCTGTCTTTAAGTCATACTTGACATTCAACTAAGGATTTAAGTTAACAGATGAACATGCCAAGACAAAGTAAATGCATTATATCCCCTTCAATACATCTTAAGGCAGAAGTACCTTGCAAAATAGAACAAGATTTGTGATTGCATAAAAAATTTCCATACAAACTCATCACAAGATGAAAAAGAGTACGGGTTTGTGTGTGTGTGCGTGTGTGCAAATACCATGTGTTTAGCAAGCTTTATTGTTATAGGTAAAATAATAAAATAAAATAAAAATAAAAAGACAACTGATTTGAGCTGGAGTGCATCGACAAGGAAAAAAAAGGGTTAGCAGAAACTCCAGCCGTCAAATATTTATATTACTCTCATACTTTTTTTTCTTTATAAGAGACAAAAGAGGTATATTAGAGAAAACACCCACAAAAAGGGCCAAAACAACCTAAAGGCGGAGGGTAGAGAAAACCCTCATACTTCACATATATAATATAATGACATGTACCATTAGCAATACATATCCCATCTTTGTTTGCCAGTCATACTAAAAATCATACTAAAAATCACATCTTCCTTGGCACCAAACTCAAATGCACAAAATAAGTTACTCTAACTTACATCTGTAGTCTCCATATTACTTCCGTTTTTATTCCCCGTGTGGGCGGAGTCAAGTGACAAGGTGACAAACCATCCGACATCACCGTGATACTTGATACTTGATAGTTTAATCCCTCCACATTGGTTCGTATTTATAGAACGGAGATTTGAAGTACAAAAACATTAAATTAAGAGCTGAAGAAGACCAAAGTTTTTTACTGAATGCTTCAATGTTGCTATGGCCAGCCCATTGAGTTAAACAAAGTGCCCCTTTCAAATTAAAGCAGATATTAATGAAGCCCTAGGATCATATACTCCCTCCATAAAAAGAAACTACAGCATAATTAGCTAATCAAATGAGAATTTAGTACAAGAAAAAACACTGACCAATTAAAAAGCCAAGTACTGCAAAATTAAATTCAAACAGTAAACCAAACAGAGTACTTGAATAATTCATATTAAAGGAGGATAACAGATAAGCCAAGAAAGTTACATGGAATTATTGGACGTGGGCATCGAAGAAACGAAGCTAGGCATCCCGTTCACCGTTTTATTTATATCGTCTGCACCAATCTTCACTGTTCTACTACCCATCAATCACCATCATCATCACCACCACCACCACCAGTTCAACAAGGAAAATAGAAACCACTGATTAAGAACAGCCTCTTCAATTTCAAACAAAATAGCTGAAACCCAGTACTCTGAAACTCCTAAATCCTAGAACTATTAGCAACTTCCCAATCCAAAAACGTCAAAAACTTCTGCTGCTATCAACAACTGCACAACTTTCAACTTTCGAAGAGCTCAAAGCAAATAGCTGGAGAAAACGTGTCGGAGGCCTCCAAAAACAACAACAACAACCAAATAAAGGAACTACGAACTGTATGTATCCAAAACCCAGAAATTAAATACAACAAAAATCAAGCCCAGAACAAAAGAAGAGGAAGAATCCGGAGATGAGACTTGGGTTTCACAAATTAATGGACATCCGGAAGCCGGAATCCAAGGAACAGCGCAACAAAAACCCTACCCAGAAGGGGTGTGGAGATAAATAGAGAAAGCTTTTTGACTTTTTTGATCAAATTCTTTGGTAAAAGTATTTAAAAACTATGAAATTTTTGTGGGTTTTTTCCTCTCTTTCTTCAAACCCCACCCACGGCGGAAATTTTCAACAGGCCCACCTTGAATTTTGAGCTTCTTTTTGTTATTTTACTTTTCAATTTTAACTTGGCTCTCTCTCTCCCTTGTTCCTGCTCGGGTGAGGGGAGAAGAGAGAGAGAGATAGAGTAGAAGAAGCGTGACGTTTAGACCATTCCAAATTCCAACCTCCCCCTTACGTCCTTTTCCTTCAAAAACCATTTCTTTAATCATTTTTTGATGCTGCCACTTTCTTCTTCTTCTTCCTCTTCCTTTTTTTTTTTTCTATTTTTCTATTGCCGATTCTTCAGTAGTGGGTACACCACCGCCACCACCCTCTCCTCTCTCTCTCTCTCCTCTTCTACTTCTCCATGTAACTTCACCACTGGCTTTTTAAACACTTCCTCTATTGGTAGTTTTTCTTTTTTTTTTCCTTCCTAATACAACAACAATTTCTGAGGAGTAATATTTTAATAATTGAATTAAGTTTGGATCGGCTATTAAAACTTTTCTTATATTGTTTGTTTTTTTAAACCCGTTTCATACCATTTTTTGTTATTTTTGACCATTTCATTTTCTCTTTCCTATTTGATTTTTTATAATTGTTGCAGTTGTATGTTGTTGATATATTCATATATGAATTAAATTTACAATACAATATACGCATAGTGGTTTATTTATCCTTAAAATAATATTGAAAGGTTCGAATCTCTGCATTGTTATTGTATTTCTTTAAAATAATTATTATTATTCTTTTTTAAAATGGACACTTTGTGGACCTAAGATGACCCATATCAAATAGGTGGTTTCTTGCTCCTTTAGGGGCCGTTTGTTTTTCAGGAATGTAGACGTCTGACATCTATAGATGCTTGGAATTTTAGATGTCCGGAATTTTAGATATCCGACATCTTTAGATAACCATGTTTGTTTCGTAGGAAAATTTATAAGGATATTCGGGAATATTTGGATAGCAACGTTTGTTTTGCGAGATTTGTTCTCGGGAATATGTTAAATTTGTAAAATGTTCCAAATATACTCTTAGGAATGTTTATATAATTAATAAACTCATTTAATATAATAGACTTATTTGAATTAATTTAATATTTTTATTTTTTTTATATGTTATTTCGTAGAACAAATATTAACTTATTATAAATTTCATTTCAACTTTAATAGTTTTTCAAGAAGACAATCATATATAATTTATGTAATATCGGGTAAAATTTATTTATCATATTATCACATTATATTTTTTTAAGAAGAAAAATATCACAGGTATTTTAGTCATAAAAAAATGTTGCTTTAAAATTGTATATTTATGATAATAAATATTATTAATAATGTAATTTCATCACAGTATTAAAATAAATGGAGATATTAGATAATTTAATTGCAATTTATTTTACATGTAAATCTAATGTAGAAGTATACTTAATAGCATAAAGTTGTTTATTAGATAACAAGTACATTAATTTATTTTTGAATTGATGAAAAAAAATATATGGAGAAAAAATGAATGATAGAAATGTAAAAAATGGATGCCCTCAACACGGGAATCTTGGAACCCCGTGTTTCAAAAGGGAATCTAAAACTCATAAGATGCCTCCCGTATGGACATCCTAGGATACCCGGACATCTCAAAATTCCCAGGTATCCTAAATTCCCACAAAACAAACGTGGGAATCCAGATGCCCATCTAACGGGAATCTCGGATTCCCACGAAACAAATGGCTCTTTATAGTCAATCTTACCTTCATTCGAGTCGAAAAACTCCTAGTTTGATCAGTTACAGGGTCAAACTGGAGATTTATTCGAGTTCCTAGTTGGGGACAAGACGGGTATGTCCCAAACCTTGCTCCAAGATATATTAACAATATTAATATATTATTTAAATGTATTTAAATATTTATATATAATATTACCTTTTCTTTTATACAATAATACATATATTTTATTGTCAAAGCGAGCATAGCTAGCTGTAAATGACATATACCTCCAACCAAGAGATTGTTTTCCTCTTTCACCTTTACTACAAACATACCCTAGTCTACATCCATCTCCTTCAAACTTCATAATCTACATTACCGTTGTCAACCACCATTGTAACGTTGCCCTAAGTACCATCGCCTCTATAAGTATCTTCTTTGTTCCTTATAGGGAGACGAATCTTTGCCCTCCTCCCCACTTCAAAATTGTAAGGACAAGTCTTCGTAGGGTTGAGAACGTGGAATGCATCTCTATCATTGCATCGTTGTCGATCATTCACCATTTAAACTTCATTCTACCCCTTCCAAGGACAGATTGTTACGTGTTACTCACCCGTCCGCCGCTGGAAACACCACTTCCCATCTAACTTGCATGTCACATCAAATCTTCTTCAAACTTAATATTTTTTTTCACTTATTTATTGATAGTTTTCATAGTTTAAACTCCAAATCTTATAGTCAAATGTGTTTTTTTTTAAAACAAAAATATATGTGGTGTTTGATCCTAATTGGTGTTTGATCCATTTGATTTTTTTGACTCACATGGACACATTTTTTTTATAAGGTTTTAAAAGTTATTCAGTCAAATTTAAAAATAAAAGATAAACTTAGTTTTCAAATTATGCTAATAATTAGTTTTGTAAATAGAATATATTACTTTTGTATGAAATTAGAAAATAAAATTTCGTTTTTCTAAAGAAAATTTTTATTATTATTTAGCTCTCATGGATTCCCTACCAAAAAAAAAAAAAACCTTCGCCATGGTCCAATCAATAGCATAATCTCTCTTGGGTCACCAAATATAGTGGGGGCCATTAGTGTTCATACTCTCTATTTAGCTATGTGCTCAAAATTATAGGATTTACTAAGTTGACTTAGGACTAAAAAAAATTATTCTCATGTGAATCATAATATACATTTTCATTTAATTTATAACATATTTGATTTTAATGTCTTTGCATGAATTGTTTTAATTAGTAACGTTAACACTGTCACAAAGATAAGACACTCGGTTTTAGCTCAATATTATAGAACGTCCAATATATACTTGATTTAAGGGTTGCATGTTAGTAATTTAGAACTTTTATGCTAACAGAAACATCAGAAACATGATTCAGCAATTAATACATATTTTATTATAACTCTATTTTGAGTTTTTCGCTTTTTAAAAATTATATGTTTGTATTCATCATTTTACTTGTCGGATAAGAATATTTTAAAATTATAGCCAGATTTTAAACATTAAAAACAACTTTTAAAAATCTATTTATCTATAATTAAAATTTAGATAAAAATTTTTTTTAACTATTTTTAATGAGTGTTAGTGAACAATTTATTTCTCAAAAAACAAAAATGAAAATCAATATCAAAATCGTAATTTAAAATTTAAATAATCTTGAAGTTACATTTCTTAGTTCGTTCTATATTTTTGGCACACTCGTTTTTATATGTCAAAGTGAGAATCCAGCACCATAGGTCATTCTCAACTTTCTTCGTTTTTTATGAAAAGGAAATCCAATATTGATCTTCGAAAGCATTTTCCCTCCCACTTCTAACTTATAAAAAAGAGCGTTTTCCCTCCCACTTCTAACTTATACAGAAGATTAATGATATCTTAACTATTAGAGTGTGTTATTTATAATATAACTTACTTTTTCACGACTAAAAGTTAGTAAGGTGCGTTTGAGTGGTAATTTGAAAATAAAAATTTGAAATAATAAATTTAATGAATAATAGAATTGTATCTCATGTTTGAGTACTATTACTATTATAGGTGTTTGATAGCACATTTGGAAATTGAATCTCATGCAGTTAAATTGAAAACTAGAGCATTGATTTGTTTTCAGTGTGTTTCAAACGGAGCAGTTTCAATATATATTTTACATTTTTAATTTTAACAAAAATGGAGTGAGTTTATAACATAAAATGGTATATCAAAGTTTAATATAGTTATGCCATCTTGGCAGATATTTAATGAATCTGAAAACAAGAAACCGAATTTAGATTGCATACCAAATATGCTCTAAATAATTACATCTTCTATGGAGGTGTTACATTTTTAATTCAACAATGATAAGATAGAAATCGAACCATTGACTATGAAATAGTAAAATTTTTTAATATTAGAAAGTAGTAACTCATTTTCATACTATACTTTTTTTTTCATAAATAATTTTTAATATAATTAGAATCTATATCAAGATTACGCAAGGGACCATAAGAAGTGTCGTAGCATTGAAAATATTTTCTTACAAAAATTGTAGATTCGAAGGAAGCCAAAGGGCATTCTCGTCATTTAGAGAAGCGATAGAGTTTCCACAGGGGAGGCGTGCGGCTCAAACCAAACGCAAGAAAATAGAAATTAAAAGAAAATTAAAAATAGGTCAAAACTTTAAACACCATTTTGAGAATTGGGATATTCCCGGATGACCTAATTTTGAGGAGGCTATGAGATATGTCCGTTTTCTAAAAATTTTGTTATTCTAATCTTCGTGACATTATCCTATCGCGACAATTTACCTCGTGGTCGTGTCCCTCATTTATTTCTTTTTAGTTATAGCGATAGCGATAACGGTAGAGAATAATGATAACGGTAACAATAACGATAGTTTATATTAACAACATACTTTCCATTTAATCTCAACAATTTCAAAATTGTTAGTAGTAGCAATAACGATAATAGAAGTACAGTAGGAATGATAACGATAACAGTAACATAATAACGGTAATAGTAGTGATAGTTATAGTTTATAACTTTCAATTTCTTTTCTGGATTCATTATCTTTCTCTCTCAATTTTTTCCCAACTACGATTCTTTATTCTTTCAAAATTTTTCAACTCTAATTCTTTATTTCTCTTTTAATTCTATCTCTATTTTTACATTTATCTTTACCGCTACCTATATATATATTTATATCTCTACATCTACTTATGTCAATATCTTATTTTTCTCTTTCAATTTTTTTCCAACTCGAGGTAGGAGGTAGAAATATGGGTTGAAGTACGGGTAGAGATAAAAGAAGAAAATAAAAATAGGTAATTAAGAAAACGTGGGAGAGAAGCGAAAAGTAAATATTTCGAGTTGGTAAAAAAAATTAAAATTTGATTTTGACACCAAAGAAAAACAAAGAAATTAAAGTAAACAAATAAAAATAAGTAAAATTAACGGTGCAAAAGTTACGTTACTATTTGGAGAGATTCGAGTTAGAAAAAAATTGAACTCAATGGAAAAAAAGA